CCCCAAAACCCCAAAACCCCTCAATATAGTTTTATTAGCAATATTGAATTAAAGAAAATAAAATACTTTAATTTTAATGAAGCAAAAGAGTACTGACAAAGTATCTGAACACAGTCATAAATCACAAGTAAATAAGGCTTAGAAGGAATCGAATGAAAATTCAATAGATCGTAACTCGTCATTTCAAAAAGGTATTAATTTATTAATTAAATCTTACACCTTTTATAGAATATAACATCATGAGTAAAGCTAATCTTACTACATCAATAAATAATCATTGCCATATTATTGTTGCAGAATAATAGAACAACGTAAAGTTCACGAGATTAAAATCAGGTCAATCTTCTCAGACAATAAATCACGATAGAGAACAGTAGATAATTCCTTATTAAAAATCTCAAACATCACATAATTTTAACGGCTTTCGCATTAAATCCTTAAATCAAAGATAAAATGCGCACAGATTAAACTATATCAATTAATCCCTTAATAAAACTCAAAAAAATAATGTCTAGAATGCAACTAGAAGAACTGGAACTAGCAATCTTTAATTCATATCAACAGCATCAACTTTCTATGTGAGTCCTCAAAAGAATTAAACCCTGCTGAGTGAGTATTCTATTTAAGCTTAATAGTAGCCTCTTAATCAATCTTTACAAAAGTCTTTAGTAAACATCTCAAGTGGTTCTTTCAAAGAGATTAATAATTAGCTTAATAGAAGTGTAAGCAACTACAATTCTAGAAATTTTGACGCTAAATGCTAGCAAACTAATTTGTTCTCCTCTGGGGTGTTTCAAAGAACAAGTTTTTAAAAGATATTTCTAAATCATTAAGGAAGGTAGAAAGGTGATGAAGAGGTAAGTCAGAGTATATATTCTGCAACTGGTGGGCCTAAGTTTTCTATAATAAAGAATGAAGTGATAGATGAAAGTTTAAGTTAATCGAAGGAATATTAAAGGATTAGATTTGGTAGAAGATCATTTACTCAGGACAGACCTTAGTCCTCATAGATCAATATGAGAGCATCAGCTACTGGATTAAAAAGGAGGTTTATTCTATAACAAACATAAATTATCCCCAAAATACAAATGGATTCTACCACTCTGAGTACTGAAAGAGAAAAAATTGTAGTTAGAGATTAAGAAATAGTCAATCCTGAGGAGTAGAGTAGTAAATCTATATCAATGATATAAAATCATAGAAAGTCAAAGGTATCAATATAGAATTCACTTTTGTCATGGGACTCAAAATCAAATACTCTTAGTTTTATGTATATTTATTAAACTTAACATAATTTAGATCTTAAAATAATCAGAATTCAAAGTTGTTCAAGACTTCTAATTAAAAAGATGCATTGAGTAAATTGAAAGAATTTGAGCCAGATCAAACTTTAACTATTAATAATTTGACTTAATTTACCCCAAGATTCGATGAAATTGATCTTGGAGACATTAAAGAATTTGATAAGAAAGTTTTTCAATGCTTCATTGAGGAATCTCAACAAGTCTTAGATCTTAATGACTTCGTGAACTATAGCGTAAGCATTTAATTGTATTAAAGTAATCTGTATTATAGGGGCATATGGATAAAGGACAAAAAGAAGGTGATGGAGGTAATTATGACAAGGTAAATCAGCAATTTTACTATGGAGGTTGGAATCGAGATTAAAAGTTTGGATATGGAATATGCTTTTACAATGTTAAGCAAATAAAATCAAAAGAGAAATATATTTCTTGGAGTTATGACTAAGTTTATAAGGGATATTGGAATGACAACTAAAGATCTGGCTTGGGTTTTCTTAAGAATCTCAATGGTGATATAATACTAGCAAACTTTGAAAGAGATAAAATAAAAGACTCTTGCTAGGTCTAAATAAAATACTTGAGTGGTGATATTTATATTGGCTAAATTAAAAATGAAAAGAGATAGGGATATGGACTGTACCTTTATGTAAATGGAGACGAATATCACGGAAATTGGGGAAAAAATCTAAAATAGGGTAAAGGGAAAATTATTTTCCAAAAGGGAGGTGAATTTGCTGGTACTTTTGAAAATGATGACTTAAACAAGGGCTATTTTAAAGATCATTTGAGAAATGTTTTTACTTCACTAGAATATTCTGATGAGGAGAATGAAAAGCTGAATGGATATTTCTTAAAAGGAAAACTATACAACTATGTAAACTTTTTAACTTAATAATTGATAATAGGGAAAAGCAGAATATGCCAACAAAGAAGTCTATAAAGGGATGTTTAAAGATGGTAAAAGATGTGGACTTGGGAAAATGACATATCTTTAGTATAATGAAAAGTAAGGAAATCAAGAAACATCTGAGTATGATGGAGAATGGAGATTAAATATGAGGCATGGAAAAGGGATTCAAAAGTGGTCGGATGGATCAATATTCGAAGGAGTATGGAACATGGATAGAAAAGTAATTGGGAAAATGTAATTAACTGATCGATCAGTTTATTAGGGGCCTTTCAACAGTGAAAAATTTCATGGAATAGGCGAATTGTTTTTTCCTGATTAAAATGTTTTTAAGGGACTTTTTGAAAATGGCAATTGCCACAAATTTGGAATGATGACCTATAAAGACAAAAGAGTCTACATAGGTGAGATGTTGTAAGTATCGTTTGAAATTTTTAATAAATAATGTAGGGACTATAGAATGGAAGGAATTGGCTGTTTGATATAAATTAATGGAGATACTTACGAGGGGGAATTTGTAAATGATTAGGCAACTGGAGTTGGCTAAGTGTTCTACTAGAATGGAGATTACTATATTGGATAATTGGAAGAATATAAGAAGCAAGGAGCAGGCAGATTTTATGAAAAAATGAATCGCAGATCTTATTTTGGAAGATTTTATCAAGACAAGAAAGAGGGTGATGGTTATTACTTCTATGATAATGGACAGGTATATTGTGGAAATTTCAAAAATAATCTTGAAGAGGGTGTTGGTGAATACATTGATAAAAAGGATTTAAGAGATTTGTAAGACTTTTAAGATTAGAGGGTAAAGGATAGAATCAATTATATAGAGAAAGTTTTATCCACTGGGTAGAAATCAATTGAAGTTGACAGAGATTTATTTAGGAAAAAGATAGTAATATATAACAGCAAGCAATGATTATAAATTATTCGAATTGATTTTCAAAAATTATCTATTGATTCTACTATTTCAAACAATCATGGGGTTTTGGGGTTTTGGGGTTTTGGGG